CTTCAGAGTCCTCACGCTTCTACAGAGCCCTTACCACAAATATGCACTGCAGTCGGCCTCCAGCCTCATACTGGTCTCTGCTCTGAAATTATCCATTTCTATTGTCTCAATCCATAAAGCATATTCGTGCAACTGATATTTATCAGTGTAAGACAGAGATAACCCCTGACACCCTAGAGGTGTCTGCATTTAAAGAGGGAATTTTATGTATGTGTGTTACATGTGAGTGAGCATACACATATGAACACACATATATACACATGCATATATGCATATATGTGTATATATGTATCTATATAATCTATATCTATATCTACAGATATGTGTATATATATATATATATATATATATATATATTTTTTTTTTCCCCCAAGAAGTTTCAAAGTGAGGTGTCACTTTGAAGACACCTTCACTTCACTAGAGAGGATCTTTGAAATCTGACAGGGCACTGGACACTTGGGTGTGTGCTCTGAGGTCGCTTTTCTTATGTTATTCCTGTTGGGTGTTGGGGTAAAAACTTGGAACAGGAACAAGAGTCACAGTCAGCAGAACTGGAAGAAGATGGAAAACGTCCCACTCCACAATCACTTTTTTTTGCCCAGAGCTTTGTGGGCTCAGAGCTCTTGCACCCTGCTCCATAGTTTACAGGCTGCAGATGGGCTGCAGTGGGGAAGTTGGGCTTAGGGGATCCCAGAGGATTCAGGTGAGGCATGGTGTCCATACTGATTCCCTTCAGCTAGAGCTTGAGAGAAACCCTCTTCTTTTCTCAGAAAAGTTTCAGAACTACTCCAAGAAAAGTCTAGGCTGAACGGTATGGATTTTCACAAAACCAGGAAGCCATGGAGCCCTGGTAGGTCTCCAAGGAAACCCTAAGCTATTTAGCTCTTTGCTGTCAACCAGCTGGCAGCTTCTGAAGTCTTCTTGAGGGGTCCTGTGCAGCTGTGTTTTATATTTCCATATGGCCTTGCCAGAGGTCCCTCCCTTAAACAGACACGGCTTCCACAATTAGTGTGGACTCAAAACAAGTTAGCTATGGAATACATTAAGTCGTAAAGGCCTCATGGGGCTATTTACACCTCTTTGGACTATTTCCAGGATCCCAGATTATACTGTAAGTGTAAATTAAGGACTCTCACTACCCAGTCAGTGGCTCTGACTGGAACACATAGCAGAGCCATACCTTATGCCCCATTTTCCAGTGCTTTTCTTGGCCACATGTTAACGAGTTTGCCACCCTGAAAGATAAGCTCTGTGTAATCTTAAAACTACGTCTTAGAAGGTATTTCTCTCTTTCCCTAATTCTAGTCCTCAGGTACTGAAATTGACCATTCATCCATTTTTTTCCTTCAGCATTAAAATCTTTCAGGAATTTATCTGCATTCACCTGGCCAAGTTATAAATACCATGCAACACCTATACCATGCCATGTCTTTACTTAAAATAATAAATTTGTTTCACTTAATAAAATACAAAACCAGATGAAGTCAGTCTGTGGGCCCAATGGTTGGGAACGTACATTTAGCTGCTGGTTGGGGTAGAAAAGATGCTGAAAAGCTCATTCCCCTACCCAATACACAAGATCAGTTATAGATCACATATTCTAGAAAACCTGAATGAAATCGGCCCTTATTTCCTTTTTATCCACTGCTTCCCTTGTGTACCCTAGGAGCCTGAGCAGGTTGTGGTGTTCGCACTCCCCACTCTGCTCTCAGCCCCTGTGAGGCCATTTTCCTCAGAGCCTCTCGTTGTCTTCACAGGGTCATGTTTCGAGCTCTGTTTCCCAGGGGACACTGGTGCCTAACAGCACAGCACCTGACACACAGGCCCCTGGTAAACACTTGTGAAACGAGTTTTAGAACCTGAACAAGGATAGCTGTGATGTCTGGGAAGTAACACAAGTTCAAGAATTGGGAAATTAGCGCAACAAGATTTGATGATGACGATGACAATTATAGTTGGCTTTGATGACTACTTATATGCCTAACACTGTACTGAAAACTTTAAAATATAATCCCATTTACTTTAACTTAACCATCACAGCATCAGTCATGTATCATTACCCCTTTTACAGATGAGTAAACTGAGGCTTTGAAAAATAAAGTAATATGCATGGCCATGTAGCTACTAAGTATATATTTCCTGGGACTATTGCACGTCTGTTCAACGGCAAANTCTATATGTGCTTGTGAAAGACTGATTTTCTAAGACACACCAATAGATAGGTGATAGAAAAAGACAGATGATTGATAGATAGGTAGACAGATTATAGAGAATCCACATGTATAACTTTAAGTAATGATTTGTAATTTGTTTCATTTTTGTCTTTTTCAAAGGCTTTATAGTATGTAACACTTAGCTTTACAAGACATAAAGTAGCTCTACATTAGAAAACCATCCTGTTATTTGAGCTAAACTTTCCCCTCCTTAATATGTCCTTTGCACAGAGCATGACTCCCTTGATTTGTGGTAATCGCTGCCTATCTTTTGGCGTTTCTAACCTTCATGTAATTGTACATGGCTGACATGTTCCCTCTAAGTCACCACTTAGCTAAAGCAGAGTGATTTCATCTTTTTAATCTCTTCTCACTTGTCAATCCTCAGTGCTTTTTATCATTTTGTTAGTCCTCTATGAACTCCTTCTAGCTTGCCTATATTATTCTGTTAATGAGCTGCCCCCAGAAGAATGCAGTATCACAGTTCAAGCGTCTCTGGGGCATGTAAAGAAACACTACCAGCCTTGTGACTGGTGTTCATATTTAGTCAAAATTCACATCACCTTACTTCTGTTCCATATCACAGATCAAACCAACATCCCATTTTCCATTTTAACCTCGATTTTAACACAGCTTTTACCACACTCTTTCTCAAGTGCTTAGGTATACCGTTTTATAGCAGAGTTAGGGGATTTTTGCTCTTGTTTTGTTTTGTTTTATAAACGGCAGCTCAAGTGTGCACACATTACTTTTTTTTTATTATTATTCAAAGATTCTCAAAGTTACCTTTAATATAAAAGACAGTATCAACCAGGGCTCCAGTAAACAGGAAATTGATGGCATGCTCAAAATAAGGTAACTCCAGGAGGGCTTATTTACAACGGTCTATTTATAAAGTGTAAATGCAGAAAAGCCAGATGGGCTAGTGCAGTAAACTGGAGGCCAGGTGCCTAAGAGCTCTTACCATTTCTCAAGCGGTGATGAAGGGGGGCAATTATCAGAGAACTTGAAAGCAGAGAGTGCCATAAACTGCTTACCAGCTGGAGGGGATCAAGGGATGCAGCCAGCTCAAGATGACCTTGCCAGGAGTGCTCCAGGGACAAAATACCGTATTTCCCCACATATAACATGCACCCTTTTTCAAAAAAGTTGGGATCTAAAAACTGGGTGGGTCTTATACGTGGTTGTATGAGCGCAAAAACAAATGTGAAAAAAAGCGGGAAATGCAAATAAAAAAATCTACAACCACTGTATAAGACGCACCCAGTTTCTAGACCCCAAATTTTTCAAAAAAGGGTGCATCTTATACATGGGGACATATGGTACACTGAATTCACTCTCCTTTCCTCTAATGTCCTGCTTGGGCCACCATTGTCCAGAAGTTATGGGGACTGTTACAATTCATTGAAGCAGAGAGGAGGGTGGGGAAGGGTCACCAGAGTGCTAAGTAGCTTTGGTGGAGCAAACAAAAGACATCAGAGATGAAAAGTTTAGCATTTACTTATCTTCATGTGCTTATGCACTATATTTAAGCATACGTGATTTAAAATATGTATGTGTTCCTCTTTCTTCATGCAGATTCCATCTCAATGTCAACTGAGTTTCTATTACCTGACCTTTNCTATTAGGAACTTCTTCCCGAGGTTTTTCAGACTTCAGCTCTTGTTCTTTCTTTTGACAAAGTAATATATAATTTGTGCCATTATTGTTTGACCAAAATGTACCAACAGAAGTTTCATAACGTATACAAAACTCAACTTTACTGCCATCTTTTTGATAAGGAGGAACCAATGAAATCTTAAAGGAGAATTGGTCAGTTTCACCATCACAAGAATTCGGGACATATTCTGCTAAAATGTCATAATGTGTCTGCCAGTCATCTAAGGACATTCTCACATATACTAACTTCTCGAAAGAAATATTTAAAACTCGAATAATGCCCTTCATACATGTAGAGCCGGGAAGACACTTGGCTGACTCCAGTATCGCTTTCTGTGTTTGAAGTTGTTGCATAAGATCTTCTTTTGAAGAAGGTAAGTCAAATAGTGGAGATAAAACATAATCTTCTGGGTAGAAAACGTCCTTCCTTAAGTCAAAATTGTTTGAAGTACCTGGTAAATCCCAGCAATCAAATTCTTTGACAGATACAAGATTGAATCCAAAGGTGTCAGCAAAGGAAACTCTCCTCACACCTGACGATGGAGTGTCCAGGTACATGTCTTCCGAAGAATCAGAACCCCGTCGCCTAGGCTGAGGGGAGAAGCCAGGCTTGAAGTTAGCTTTAACTTCTTCATCTTCAGAAGGAGAATCAAATAAATGAGGAACTTCTAAAAAGTTATCTTTGTTAATCTGACTAGGTTCTTCAGAAGGCTCCATTGGGCTCTCTGATATCAAATAAAGGAGAACTGTACAACTAGTAGAGGCTGATATTTGAGATACGGAGGCTAAAATAAGTATAATGTTACTGTTGACATTGCAAGAAGGAGTCAGCTCTATAAATAGGTCTGGTGGCATGTAAACTATGCTAGCTTGCCTCCAAAGGCCTTTAATATGATAGCATCCATGTTACTCGCACCAGTATGTTTCAGATTTAGCTCTCAGGTTTTAATGTGTTTTTGAGCTGAGTTCCAAAGAGACATTTTAAATCATTTTTTGCTGTGTTAGAAAATCTGAAACTTAAGAATAAAAATATTATTTTAACCAGTTGATATTAAAAAATAAAAACTTCAGCCTTTTATTTTAAAAGAAAATAACAGTAGTATCAGAATACTAAATATGTAGTTGGAACTAACCCAGCCCATTGGAGCAGGCAACTGCCACAGGAGAAAATAAGATTCCTAGAACTGGAAACATCCTGAGACTGATTATAATAGCTCCCATCTATCAGGAACTGATTGTGTAAAATGTAAACTGAAAAAGGGTGAAGTGGAAGTGCTGGGAGTTCTGAGGAAGGAAACATGATTTAGGTAGAGAAGGTAACATTTGNTGAACGGTATGGATTTTCACAAAACCAGGAAGCCATGGAGCCCTGGTAGGTCTCCAAGGAAACCCTAAGCTATTTAGCTCTTTGCTGTCAACCAGCTGGCAGCTTCTGAAGTCTTCTTGAGGGGTCCTGTGCAGCTGTGTTTTATATTTCCATATGGCCTTGCCAGAGGTCCCTCCCTTAAACAGACACAGCTTCCACAATTAGTGTGGACTCAAAACAAGTTAGCTATGGAATACATTAAGTCGTAAAGGCCTCATGGGGCTATTTACACCTCTTTGGACTATTTCCAGGATCCCAGATTATACTGTAAGTGTAAATTAAGGACTCTCACTACCCAGTCAGTGGCTCTGACTGGAACACATAGCAGAGCCATACCTTATGCCCCATTTTCCAGTGCTTTTCTTGGCCACATGTTAACGAGTTTGCCACCCTGAAAGATAAGCTCTGTGTAATCTTAAAACTACGTCTTAGAAGGTATTTCTCTCTTTCCCTAATTCTAGTCCTCAGGTACTGAAATTGACCATTCATCCATTTTTTTCCTTCAGCATTAAAATCTTTCAGGAATTTATCTGCATTCACCTGGCCAAGTTATAAATACCATGCAACACCTATACCATGCCATGTCTTTACTTAAAATAATAAATTTGTTTCACTTAATAAAATACAAAACCAGATGAAGTCAGTCTGTGGGCCCAATGGTTGGGAACGTACATTTAGCTGCTGGTTGGGGTAGAAAAGATGCTGAAAAGCTCATTCCCCTACCCAATACACAAGATCAGTTATAGATCACATATTCTAGAAAACCTGAATGAAATCGGCCCTTATTTCCTTTTTATCCACTGCTTCCCTTGTGTACCCTAGGAGCCTGAGCAGGTTGTGGTGTTCGCACTCCCCACTCTGCTCTCAGCCCCTGTGAGGCCATTTTCCTCAGAGCCTCTCGTTGTCTTCACAGGGTCATGTTTCGAGCTCTGTTTCCCAGGGGACACTGGTGCCTAACAGCACAGCACCTGACACACAGGCCCCTGGTAAACACTTGTGAAATGAGTTTTAGAACCTGAACAAGGATGGCTGTGATGTCTGGGAAGTAACACAAGTTCAAGAATTGGGAAATTAGCGCAACAAGATTTGATGATGACGATGACAATTATAGTTGGCTTTGATGACTACTTATATGCCTAACACTGTACTGAAAACTTTAAAATATAATCCCATTTACTTTAACTTAACCATCACAGCATCAGTCATGTATCATTACCCCTTTTACAGATGAGTAAACTGAGGCTTTGAAAAATAAAGTAATATGCATGGCCATGTAGCTACTAAGTATATATTTCCTGGGACTATTGCACGTCTGTTCAACGGCAAAATGGATGCCCTTTTTACTGTTTCTGACATGGACCTCCATTTTTTCATCTATTAAATATGGAAATTTTAATAGTCATTAAGATCTCATCCAACTTTAAGGTGTTCCAGATTAGAACACACATCTCAGAAAATTTGCAATTCAGTTGGTTTTACTTATTTATTAAAATCCTGCAAAAGACAAAGAAATGGCTCTCCAAACCTGAAAATTTAGGAATGCTGAAAGAAAAGAGGAGAGGAATTTGGGGGCAGGTTGAGCCTTTCTAGGGTTTTTCAGAGCCACTTAAATAAAGCTAGATTTAGTGTTGTGTTTTACAACAGTTAACATTTACTGATAACTTACTACATGCCAGACACTGTTAAAAATTTATATGCATTATCTCATGTAAATCTCAAACAATCCCCATGAGATAGTACTATTATTATTACCAATTAACAGGTGAGGAAACAAAGTTTAACTTGCTCAAGGCCATACAGCTAGCACGTACGAAGCTTAGACTCAGATCCAGATATGTTTAACTCTGAAACCCATAATTTTAACCTTAAAGTTATTGTGCTTCAGCATGCTACTTTTAGCTTCTTTATCTACATACATTTAATGTAAATTATATCAATGTCATTTCATTTGGGTCATTTCTCTTGAAATAAAGCCCATAGGATACAGATCAGAAACCTGCTTAGTTTGCCAGCACATACCCCGATGCCATATATGTGATGGCCCTTATCAAGTATCTCGTGATCATTCCTTATTGGTGCAATTAAATACCTCTGGGTCACTCAGTCACATGCCTATGAGTGACAAACTCTTTTCCTCTCTCTCTAGATATTTCTTTTTGTTCAAAGTAGATAGATTAACAAGCATCAAAGAAAACACACTACCATATCAACGATCTCTGACTTGAAAAAAAATCTCCATAGAAAAAGACACAGTGCCTAGGGACATTGGCATAACTGAAATCCTGCTTTACTGCATGTGTCTTCACAGCTCATCCGTCCTTATTAGGAGGTATTACTGACACTTTCAGAACAAACAATCTCCAGGAATCCGATAGCAAATTAACTTTGGTATTAAGAAGAATTAAGTTAGATGTTACTCTACTTTAAGACAACTTTATTTCCATTTTAACTCTGACATATTATACACTATTTTAATCTACTTGCATGTATGAAACAAAAATTCACATACATTTCTCTTCTGTATTTATCTTCTGAAAGAACTGACCTCCAAATTAAGTTACACAGGAAGTATGAAAATGTTCATCAAAAGCCCGTTTAGATTCTGTAACTCTTTAGAGGGAGGAGGATATTTTAGAAGCTGTAATTTTTTGTAAAATAAGTATTAGTTCATTTTTATGTTAGCCAAGTACACATTTTGTAAAATAACACTAATAAGGTATGTTATTTTTCCCTAACCAAATTCTTCACAATGAAGTCCAACTGCAATATTCATTTAGAAATTTGATAATGCTCTCTTGTGTGAGTTTTGGGAATATGTGAAACTCCATTGCATATAAATTATATCATGGAAAAGCTGTATAAATATTCTATTATGGCACATGCTGTTCTAAGGATCTGTCAGGATTTCCTTTATGCACTCCATTTTGAGTGGTATATAAATCAGATGTAAAAATTCAGGTTGGACTGAAACTCAGCACAAAAGGCCTCCTCCAGAGGCAATTGCTTTTTGCAAAATGTGGTTTGAATTATGTTGGTCATTTTTAACTTATAGAAGTGCAGAAAATGTATTTGTGGTTTTGAAGGAGAGAGATTTTTTCCATTTTTATAACTCATTAGGAAACTTTACAGGCCTTTAGACAATTTCGTGGTTTAGTTCTTCTCAGGCTTTTTCCCCAAAGCAATATTAAAACTTGAATGGTGTCCACTATGAGTCCAATGATTACTGTTCTGAATACAAATGTGTGTATGGATATATATAGTCATACGTATCTTTGACTAGAAGTTCCAGTACTATCTTGACTGGAGTAGATTAGGCCTATCGGTTGCCCCTTTTGTTCTTGATATCAAGTCAACTTTGGTCTATCAAAGGAATCCCCTATCTATAGCATAGTTCAGCATGTATTGCTTGTAATTTTAAAACTTCATCTTTAACTTGTAGAAAACTCCCGAGTTAAACTCTGCTTCTTCTATGAGCTCTTTGATAATAAGGCTGTGCCTTTTCTAAACTTTGCTTTCCTCTAACATAGAGCAACTTGCAGCATGTTTAATAGATATTTGTGATGATGATCTTGTTTGTAAAGTATGTGTATGTTTATGCATATAAATTAGTTTGTTAAATAGTGTTGAACTTATTTTGTCTATCTAGTTATCATGCTGCTGAGTAATTTCATAAACATCTAAATTATTACTTTAGCACATGTAGAGATTATGATTACATTATTCTCTTAACAGCATCAGTTAAAACTTGAGAGAGTTTTCTTTGGACTTAGAAAGTTGGCATAATTTACAAAGTTGAGTAAACCAATCTTTCAAATGACTTTAAAGGATAATGAAAATAGAAATATTTTATATGATTGAATTGCTTCCACTCATATTATATTTAGTTCATTAATGCTTTAGAATTACACATTTAGTAGTTATTGTTTATTGCCATATAATAGAGCAAGACATTAAAGCACAAAGAAGTTAAAAATTTCCACTGTCATTCCTTAGGTTTGTGTTTAATTCTGCTCAGAATCTGGGTGTCTTGATTCCTTTTCATCATATTACAGTATTTCTGGTGCAGTTACTAGAATATTTGGGTCTAGTGACAGGACAGACAATGAAGAGGGTAATCAAACATTCGCCTGTGGTTGGGGGAGCATTGGGATGCAGGAGGGACCTATGTTCTCCTGGATGTTTTATCCACAAACCTAGTGTCATGGAAATCAGCCAACTCTGCAATAGACAGATCTGAGCACCAGTTTTCTTTATTTTTTATATTAACAGGAGAGCAGGGTTACTAATGAGAGGTCTTATCCCAAATCTCTAATCTATAAAGCTGAATATCCTCATTTCTGTTTGGGTAATTTTTTTATTCTGTCCCATTTACTTTTACTAATTTATACTACTTTGTGTTCCATGTTACATTTGGTTGTAT